CCTGCTGAAGGAATTTCTCCAGTAGATGCCACAGAGCAAATATTTATTTAACTTTATTTCCTTTGACTTGCCTCCCTCCTTCCCCCCAGCTCTGTCTGTTTGCAGACACTGCAGGGCACTGTTAAAATGGACTTGCTGGAGTTCAGGCTATCAATTAGATTACAGTTTAGTACCTCCTTCAAGGCACGGGTTTGGACCGTTGGGTATTTTCAGGTGGTAAAAGAGCTGTGTTAGCAATACCACGAACAGCCTGGCCCCACAACAGCTCTTGGCCAGAAGGTGTCTCTGAGGTTTGTGGGTGTTTTCCGTAACTGGAAGTGGGAGATCTGGGAGCTGCAGCTCCTGATCTGCACTGGAGCAGTGCCATGGCCAGTGTGGGCACAAGCATTGGCAGCGGGGCACACCGCCTACCCCTAGAGCATCTTTACCTCAGTTCCCTTCTCTAAAACCAGACTGAAATAGCTCTGCGGGAGATGCACGGAGGGTACATGAGCAGGAGCCACCTCCAGTGCCTCCAACCTGCGTGCTCAACCCCACCACCAGCAGTGGACGCTCGCCCACCCCTGCTAGAACCCCCGAGCAGGATGGGGATGAGCCCACATGGTGGTACCCAGCTCCCAGCCACATTGGACAGCCACCAGCTCCAGACCAAGGGCATCCAGAAGCCCAAGCATGGGGCCACCTCCCAGGGGAACATCCTGTGGTCCCCCTGTGCCTGATCACTTGCCTCAACATGGGATGTTTCCCTCCTTGTCACCTATTCCCAGCCCCATGGGAGCATCCCCCTTCGAAAACCTCTTTCCCACCTTACCTGCCTATGGCTTTAATTTACAGTAATCACCACCACAACCATGGCCTGACTGATGTGGCATAAACACATCAGCCATGCACGCACTCCTGTGCAGGGAGATAATACCCAGGTAGTTATTTCAGAGGCAGTTTGACAGCCCTCTCACTGCTCTCTCTTTGTTTTCCTCAACAAAAATCCCTCCTTCCCTTGAAATCTATCACGCTTGTCAAGAGAGAGGCTCATTCCCCCTCTCCTCGAGCTGATTTTGTCATGCTGCAGACTGGCTCCAAGCTAATGATTTGTCGCTGTCAAAAGGAGCTTTGGGGTTTAGAGGAGGGGTTTTTCTCTCCCAATCCACCCGCCAGCAGCCAACAAG